TTTGTGACATTAGAGGTTCTTTTTGTCTAAAACCAGCCACAGCCCATCTCATGCCAATGAGAGTTTATGGTCACCTTATCTGTACAGTTTATCAGATGGTTTTATTATGAAAAAGGGAGAAATTAGAAAAAAAAATCATACTTTAAGAGGCGTATCCAGCTGTTTTAAGATTGCATTTTCTATAATGTCTTTCTTTATGGATTATTTCACAGGAGAAAGTGGTAACAGTTGTTGAGGATTTTTCTCTAGTTTTTTAGTCTTCCCAGTGGCATCTTAAGGATTCATGGAGCCAATTATTCTTCCATCATGTAAAAAATGCTTAGAATTGCCTTGCTTAGAAAGCCAGATAGAGAAATACTCCAGCAGTAGAGTAGAAACACTCAGGAGTATTTGCCAAAGAGTAAAATACATTTATTTTCCACAATAGTTGGAAAGTAGAGTATTAATGGTACTAAGAGTGTAAGAGTTGAGGAAGTGTCTGGATGATGCTCTTTGTTCTTGTGGAATCCCAGAATGGTTTGGGTTGGAAGGGATCTAAAAATTAATCTCATTCCACCCCCTTCAATGGACAGGGACACCTTCCACTGTCCCAGGCTGCTCCAAGCCCTGTCCAACCTGGAAATTAAATCAAAATTAAACCAAGACACTGGCCTTGGACACTGCCAGGGATCCAGGGGCAGCCACAGCTGCTCTGAGCACCCTGTGCCAGGGCCTGCCCACCCTCACAGGGAGGAATTTCTAATATCCAGTCTATCCCTATCCTCTGTCAGTTTAAAGCCATTATCCCTTGTCCTGTTACTGTGGATGATGGAATTTTAGTTGGTCCTGCAAGGAGCAGGGATTTGGACTTGATCCTTGTGGGGCTTGAGATCCTCTGTGATTCTCTTTGGTCTGTTCTTGTCCTTCATGTTAATTTTGTTTTCTCACACTCTTTGCATTACTAGAATTCAAGTCATTTTCAAGCTCTTAGCAGTGTTCAGCCTTCTGAGCTGCATTTTCTGTTTAACAGGAGTAGAAAGCACACCTCAATTCCCTTTGTGTCTGTACAACTGGATGGGCTTTTAGATTCAATAAAATAGACCGATAGACCCATGGTCAAAATCTCTTTTTTTTTTTTTTTTTGGGTCTGAACTATATATTATGTGATATATATTTTTAAGTGAGCACCATAAGCATTTTCCCATATCATTCCCAAGGCTGGGGTTCAGCTGGATATTCCAGCTGCAGCAATCCAGTTCCAGATGTGCTGGTTACTGAGGAGCCTTTGGCTTCCTCCTCGCTGTCTGGAGGAGGTGGGAGAGTGGCTGAAAGGGAGCACCAGGCCAGGCAAAGTTTGTGATATAAAATAGAGTTGGGATGAAATGGGGCTTAAAATATGGTTGTTCACAATTACGTGTGTACAAGGCCAATCTATCACCATGTTTATTTAATCAAGGTCAAACAGATTTTAATTAAAATAGTGAGCTCATAACATCAGGCTAGTCATCTATAACTGGCAAGTGGGTTTTGTAACAGAGAGCAAAAAGTGTTCTCATTTATGTGCCAGTTTTACTAAATAATGGGTAACTTGTTTAGATCACTTGCAGTAATTTGGCACAGAGTGATATTAAAAAATAAAAGCTTTTACTCCAGTTGGTGCTAGTAGGAAATCATCCATTATTTTCAGTGAGGTGGTACTGATTCTTCAAAAACTGCTGGAACAGCTGCTTATCTTAGTGCCTTAAATTCAGAAAACAGGAGCAACAGTTTCAATTCCTACTTTTATTACATTTTACAGCACCTGTTTTTTCAGTGGTAGAGGAAGGGGAAATGGGGGAAAGAAGGGAAACCACCATCACATTTTTTTGGTGGGGATGATTTGGATTGGGACAAAAGTAGGGAAGATGAGCATGCTGGGTGACATTGTAGTTTAAATCAGTTTGGCCATAGTAGTTACTAAACTCACTAGATGAGATCTTCATGTCTGCTTAGCAGGATAAACTGCTCTATTAATTAAGCTCAGTCTCATAAATCTCTTCTAAGTTGCCATCAAATCCCAAAGTAACCTGGATCATGTTGCTATTGAAATCTGCAGCCCAGGAGAATGGAGTTTAATATTTCATTTGTCTTGTGTTCAGCTATGATGTGACTTGTAAGATGTAGTTTTTACATTGGGAATAAAAAAACCCCAAGTCTATCTTTTAATTGCCTTGCACCAAGAAACAAGTAATAAACTGCTTGTGATCTATAATAATTTGATTTTTAATGAAAATGTATCCACACGTTTCTTGAAAACAATTTTCTTGGAGAAATAACTTTGTAAATCAAAATATAATCAGCCTGGCATTTCATATCAGAAAATATTCTGGCAGGAGTTATGGAACGGTGCAGAATTAAAGCAGAAACAGACATTCCACAGAAAACATACCTGGCATCACTGATTTTTGTTCATGTTGGATACTTGCTGCAATTACAATTCAGATTGTTTTTTCTCCAGAGGTACAATGCACAACTCCTGCAGTCAGTCTCAAGGAGATAGGATGTTTTGTTGTAAACAACTAAAGGAAATGAAATCCAGCCTAATTTCAGTTGATCCTTTCGTACAACACTTTATTTCTCTTCACTGAGCAGATTAACCTGCAAGAATTGTCCTGAGGGAAAAATCCAATCTTCCTCACAACATGTGTGGTGCTCAAAGTCCTTTCTTCCACATTTCTGTGGGTCCTGGATTCTTCCAGTTCTTTGGGTTCTTTGAGGACATCACCTCAAGGATAGAGGGGTTTAGATTGACTCCCATTGAACTCTGAATTTTTTGTGTTGTAACATTTATGTGTTTCTTTTTCTGAGATCACAGGAAGCTTTGGGGTGGAAGAGACCTTCAAGCTCATCCAGTCCCACCCCCTCATGGGCAGGGACACCTTCCACTGTCCCAGGCTGCTCCAAGCCCTGTCCAACCTGGCTTGGAACACTGCCAGGGATGCAGGGACAGCCACAGCTGCTCTGGGCACCCTGTGCCAGTGTTTTAAGCCCCTCTTGATAAAAATATTCTCATTTGTCACCTGAATTTCACGAGAGAATAGAGTTTGTGTCCTCTGGGCTGAGGGCAGACCACATTATAGTGTGGCAGAGGGAAGGCTGGGCAAGATTCAGGAAATTGCTCATAATCTTGCAGAGTTCAGCTCAGGTTTTCAAAGCCACAAGGTGTGTGCTATTCATGTGGTTTCCAGAATGCAAGTGTTATTTACACTGACAGAGAGGGGGAAAAGAATAATAAAAATCAGGCAGGCAGGCAGAGCTCTGTAGTTTTTTGGTTTTTTTTTTTTTTGGTAGCTTCCATCAAAGGGAGCTGCTGAGATGTCTTTTATCAGCTTGCTTTGCTTTTTCTCACAGAGGTGGTACTCAATAGCTGGTTTCTGCCTCCTCATGCTGTTTCTCAAACATCCAGGCACTCTTCAGGTCTCATGCAGACTTTTTTGAGTACCTTTGCCCATGAAGTTGAGCAAACTTTGCAATCAAACACCATAGGAGGTGGTAATTCACTGTTGCCTTGGAGTTTTCTTAATTCTGAGTTACCAAGAGCCCCACTTAGAGCCAGTTCCTGCAGCATCCTGGCTACTGGGCATGGGGAGAACCCTGGTGTTTAAATTTGCTAATATTGTCTCAGACAGTGTTTTGATTAGAAAATATCCTGATGTTTATTTTTGGGGGGGGGGGGTTAAGATCAGAAAATGAACATATGATTTGAGTTTTCCTCTCGTTGATAATTTTGTCATGTTAAGTGTTAGAATTTGGCTGAACCACAGCACCACGATCAGAGACTGGGATATTCTTCTGTGTCAGGTCACAGGGCAGAGGAAGGGCTGTGCTGGAACCCTTTTATTCATGGTTTCAGCTAAGGGCACTCTCTTGTCTTTATTCAGGATTTCTTTCCCCCTCCCTCACCCTCTAAGACTCTGTTGAGTGCTGTTGTTCATATGCTTAAAAGAGGGAGCAAGTATAAACCTCATGATGATCTAAAAGACATTTTAAAACAGAAAGCTGCATTGTGGTTCCTGTATTTTCACAGGTGTTTTTCTATTGGTAACACTACCCCCAGTGCAAGGGGGTTGAAATTTAAGCACAAAAAACCCAAGCCAAATTCTTTCCAGTAACAGATGAAATTCTCATAAAAGATTTGGTAAATGAGAGGGGGAATTGTGCCTTTGTGTCTTGGTTTGAAGGACAGGTGTCTGCTAAGAAAGGCAGGAGCCTCTTTTTAAAATGGAGCATGTAAACCTCCTCCCTCCAAATTATTATAATTTTGAAATTAAGGGGGCTCTCAGGCAAAGATATGGGAATAGGAATAACAGTTCTTTACTAGGAAAATTAAAATAGAAATACAGTATTACAGAGAACAAACCCAAAAATACTGCCAGAGTGAGAATACAACCTGACACCCCATCAGTCAGTCAGGGGTTGGTGCAGTCCCATTAAATGGTGGCTGCATCCTCCTGCAGTGACAGATGTAGTTCTGCTGGAGCAGGGCTCCTGTAGAAGGTGCAGTTTTCCTCCAAAGCTCCAGGGATGATGTGGAAAGGTCTGGTTTTCCTCTGGAATCCAGTGGGAAAAGGCTGCTTTGATGTTCCAAGTCTCAGATTTTATCTAGGCAGGAAATGCTTGGCTCCTCCCCCTGGCTGGAGCATCTCCCAATGGCATGATGGAATTTTATCAGCCATGCCCTGGGACTCCATGGCCCATTAACAGGAGATATCTCCTGGCTGGGTTGTGGAAAAGATAAAGAACACTGCCCCAGCTGCTTTAACAGCTGGCCCATTAACAGAGAATATCTCCCACAGAGATCAGGATCACTGCCCATCCTGGTTTAACAGATGGTGATTGAATACAGACTTCTGGGCACATCCTGCATTGCAACCTAAGACACTTCGTTACAAAAGGTTTTGGGGGACAGCCTTACTGTACAGACACACCATGGAAATTTGGGCAGCATTTTCTGATTCCTTGTGGCTTGTTTTTGTCCCCAGAGCCTCCCACCCCGATCGCCCCTCCAGAGCTGCTGGCCGTGGGAGCCACGTACCTGTGGATCAAACCCAACGCTAACTCCATCATCGGGGACGGGCCCATCATCCTGAAGGAGGTGGAGTACAGGACCACCACGGGCAACTGGGCAGAGACTCACATCGTGGACTCTCCCAACTACAAACTGTGGCACCTGGACCCTGACGTGGAGTACGAGATCCGAGTGCTGCTCACTCGCCCCGGGGAAGGGGGCACGGGGCCCCCCGGACCCCCCCTCACCACCAGGACCAAGTGTGCAGGTGAGGCTGCTGCTGCTCCCACCCCCTAACAAATGTCTGAACTGATATGGTGAATTTGAGTATGTCTTGGGATATTTAGTTTTATTGCACGGGCAGGTGTTTAGGAACTGTTGGTTTTATGCCTGTGGTTTATCTGACAAGCTCTTAGCACAGCACGAGGCTGCTTTCTGTTGGAACAGGCAAACAACGTTTTTTCTGACCAGTCCTCCAGTAGGAAAATTGTTCTTAAGACCAGGCTGTGATAAAATTTTCACCTCTAAGTACAGAACAAAATTTGTGTTTTTCTTGGATAGTGGATCTGCAGTGGTTATTAACAAATTGACTCCAATATCAGTTTGAGTGCACTGTGGTGAAGGAGAAAACGTTTAATTTTTAAGATACCTTTTTGTGTTCCATTTGATGGAACTGATTCCCCTCCTCATTTCTGATAAAGGACTGTGTTCAAATATTGTATAGGAGCCTCCTTTTCTCTTTCATGTTGGAATGGATCAATTCTGATCCAGAGGCAGAAGTAGTCTGTCTTTCTTTCTAAGCCATATTGGTCTTCCCGTGAAAAACTGACGGATGGTGTTGCTCATGTTTCAGATATATTGGCTATTCATCCTGTTGTCATACATTAATCATTAGCCATTAAGGGGAATCAAGCCCTGTGCCTGGCACGGGGATGAACAAAGCACTTTTCAGCCTCACAGGTTTTTTTTCCACCACACAACTTCATTTTCTCACATTTTTGTAATTTTTGCAAGGTCCTTACCGTGGTGTGAACAAAGAACAGGGACTAAAAGGCTGCTCTCCTTTTGCTACAAACCCTCCTTCCCTCCTCACAAATCAGTGGTTTGCAACATGTGGATTTAAGTACTCTTTCTGATCAAACAGCAAATCTGAAGTGGGAAGAAGGCATCCAGAACACCCAGAATCATCCTAGGATGGCATTAGGCAGTGCAATATTAGTGTTCCTCATCCACTTCATGGCAGAAACATTTCCAGCAACATTCTCTACCAAGAGAGGAAGCCTGGCAGGCTGACTGTGTTTTGGGTGGCACATCCTTTATTGTGAAGGCTGTAAATTAGTGAACATTTATTGCCCCTTTGAGAAGATTTGGTTAAAAATAAATTAATCTGAGCACAAGGCCCTGACATGCAGGTATTTGCTTGGTTCAGCACCTGTTCTTAGGTAGAACACAGATGTTAAAGGCTTTGCAGCAGCTGTGTGGAAAGCATGAAGTGACATGGATGATGTCCTGGCCTGTTTGGGAAGTTGGCACATGTTCTGCTGCTCACCTTCTGGCTTCCTTCTCCTTTCCAAGCGTGGTCAAATTCTCTGACATCACCAGAAGTCACTGCAGGCCTGGCCTGGGACTGTGCATTTGCAGGTGGAAATGTGATGTGCTTAGATTTGGTCTGGAGTTGATGTGTTGTCACTTTGCAGTCACACTCTGCAGCAGCCAAACTTTACAATCTCTCTGCCTTACCTGTAAAAAATGCTGGGTTTAGCTTAATTCAGGAGTTAAGGTAAAAAAAGTTGACTTTGTGCTTAATGTCTTGTCCTGTGTCCCAGATTGCTGAGTTTCTTGCCCTGCTCTGGTATCGACTGACACTGAGAAGGATGACGTGGATAATTTGTTCAAATTGGCAAAGCTGAGGCACTTTCTGTTTTCCATCCTATTTTCCTAATGAAAATCTAACTGGAGAAGGTCATTCTGTTAATGTTAGCTGTCATACAGGCCTTGTTGAGATTGATGGCAATGGCATTTATGTTTTGTTTAGGGCACTGGGTAGAAGAAATCATAATGATCTTGATCTAAGCGTGGACCAGGAGGGAGGGAGAGACTTAATAGCTAAAGATGTACAATTTCACCAAATGCCAGCTGAAATGATAGACAAGAAAATGCAACTCATTATTCCAATTTTCATACGTCGTGGAACTCCTTCAAAACACCGTTTTGAGGGTAATTACACAAAACTTTTATGGTGAAGATTTTCAAAAATGTGCTGAACTGAGAAAACAGCTCTGCTGCCTTGATTTTCCTAAGAGTACCTAATGAATGACATCAGGGAAAATTGAGGGGTTTTAAAACAGTTGAGGGATGAGTGATGCTGCTTTTATTTTCTGCTTTTTTTGGTTGTTTTTACTTTTTCTGAGCAAGAGGGAAGTACCAAACTCCTACACATTTGTATGCAATCAGCAGGTGATTGGAGCAGCCCAGTTTTACTGCACTGTTTGGTGTTGTGCTGTGTTTATTAAGCCCACAGATAAAGGTAACAGAATTGATTGCACAAGTAAGAGTAGAGAATATCACCTGTACTGGAGAAGCATTTACTTATTTAAATTGCTAGAAATCAGTGAAACAATGAACAGAAGGTGGCTGCAACCTTCGAAGAGAGAGAAGTGTGTATCCCTTGTAACTGAATACTATTCCTGGCTCTTTTCACATAGAGACTGATTTTTTGTTTTGGGGAGGCTGAGGAACTGCTGGCCTTCAATTTAAGCACAAGTTGCAGTGAGAGTCTTATGTAGAGATAAAAATGAGAAGGATTTGGGAATGACCATGCTTCTCTTCCACTTGAAATCAAGCAGCAGAAGTTCATTTACAAAGTTGCCCTTGTCTCCTGTGTGTTTCCTGACTGTCAGCTTTGCATCAGAGCAAAAGCATGGCCAGGATGCTCTAGCATGAGCTCAGAGATCATGACAACTCTTACCAAAATCATTCATTAGTTTCAGATTTTGATCACACTAAGTGGAAGGTGTTCATACAGACTTGAAAGGTTTTTGGGGTTTTTTTTTAAATTAGATAAAACCCATAAGGTAATTATGGAAAGTACTGCTCTAAATGAGCATAAAGAAGTTTTATTAAACTGGATAATATCGAAATTTCTGTTAGCAGTATGTGCCCAACTGTGTTACCCCACTGGTGATGCTTTTGGTGTTCTACAGGACAGCATTACAAGATTTAATTAATACTTGATCAATAGAAATAATACTGAAAATAAAATCCCAGCTCACCTCCTTTAAGGAAAAGCCAACTGACAGAAAATATGGTAACCCTGCACAAATGATTTGTTTGTTGCAAGTTTTGTGATTTGGATTTGAATTTGTTTTTTTCATGAACTGTGATAGGTCATGACTTGGGACAGGAAAAGATGAAATCACCTTGAGGCATAACCCAGTAAAGTGTCAGTCAGAGGGAAGAGCTGTTCAGCAGGGAATGGGGAAAAGAGAGAGATTGTTTAAGGTTAAGACCAGACACGGGGTTGAAGGTTGGGTAAAGGAAGGATAGATATAAAACATTAGTGTTTATCCCCAAAATAATAGGTTGAGGAGATAACAGGATTAGAATAAAGTGTTTGAACACAGTTCCCAATAGTGCCTAGTATTCAGCACTGGTTCTCTAAGTGTGGGGCCTTTGTAGCCATCCTCTATAGATAAACAGCACTTTAAAAATCCTTGTTCCATGGCCTTTGTTCACAGGAGTGTGCTTTGGGAAGCTTGAGGCTTATTTTCTTCTCTCTGTTTATTGACTATTCCTCTGGTTTTTTTGTGGGTTTTTTTTTTTTTGGTTTGGGTTTTTTTTTTTTTCCTTTCTTCAGTTTCCACAGAAAGGCAGAATAGGGGAAAAGTTGTTTTTAGCTCTGGTGGATGGAAAAAAGGAAAAAGTTGCATTTGAGGTCATCATCATGCAGGGAATCTCATCTGAAAACTGTTTGCTTCTAGTGGGGTAAACTCACATGAAAAACAAATCCAAAGAGTAATATTGAAATGAATATTAATAAAAGGACAGAGTAAATGTTTTCTTTATGATTAATACTTACTCCTGATAAAAGACTGCCTGGAAAAGCTGTCTTGAACATTTGCTTCCCTTTAGCTTCATAAAACATTGTCTGATCTTCATTATCTGTTAAGGTTAAAGAAAGGAAGCCTCAGGGGGACCTCCTCCCTCTCTAAAACTCCCTGAAAAGAGATTGTGGCCAGGTGGGGATCAGGCTCTGCTCCCAGGGAACAAGTGGCAGAAGGAGAGAAAACAGCCCCAGGTTGTGTTAGGGGAGGTTTCAATTGGATATTAGGAAAAAATTCCTTACTGAAAGGGTTCTCAGGCACTGGAACAGGCTGCTCAGGGCAGCTTCCATTGCTGGGAGTGTTCAAAAGGTGTGTGGATGTGAACATGGTTTAGTGGTGAACATGGTGGTGTTGAGTTAATGGTTGAACTCTGATCTTAGAGGGCTTTTCCAGCCTTTACAACTTTATAATTCTCTGCCTTTTGGCAGAGAATTGGAAGTTGTTGTTGGGATTGTTGTTGGATGATGACAGCAGGTTGTAAAATGGGGATGGCTTTATAACCTTGGGGTTTGGAAGAAGGAAACTCTTCAGTCTGACAGGAGAATTGTTTGGTAAGGAATGGGAGGGGAGGAAAAGTGCTGAGAAACCCCCTCATCATCTCCCCCCAGAGAACACATGGCAGTGATTCCTCATGGAACAGCCTTGTGATCATGAGAAGTTTGCCCTCATATGAGAAATTCCCTTGGCTCACATGGATAAGCAGATAAGCTGCTGGAGACTGCCTTAGTCAGCACAGGAAGATTTAGCTCCTCCAAAAACAGAGCAGTTGTCAAGATCAATACTCAATTTTTGGTGTAGGCCTAGGGAAATAAAAGTCTTGAATGATGGGGCTGAATTTGTTACTCCTTTTAAAAATAGTCCTGATACAGTGGCTGATACAAATGCAAATGATCTGCAAATTTCAAGTTTGATATGGTGCTGCCAAGTAGCTGGAAAACCTTTTTGTCTGGTGGTTGTTGACAGGTGACTTTGTTGCCATGAAATCTAGTGAAGTTTACCAGTAGTAAGCAGCTTTTGCCATTTTTTTTGTTGGTTTAAGGGAATAGTTCCAAATTTATGGAAATGGTTCTGGTTTTTGCTCTATTACAGGTGTTAGGAAAAGAAGGTATTTGCACTCTGTTATGATAGGTGTGAACTGAACAACCACAAGCATGTGCACTGAGTATGAGTTCAAAACCACTTCTTTCTGGTTTA